AGTGACAGTTCAGCCGCCCTGCCTTGCAGGCAGCAGCCCTGTCCCCTTAGTCCCCCACCACAGTTTACTACTTCTGAAGAGTGGTATGTTTGACTCAGCCTCACATCCAGAGGGGAAAAAACTTACTCTAAAACCAGAACATTCTGTGGTTTTTCCTGGTAGAGGAGAAAGCCTCTCTCCTCCTCAATTTAGCACTGATTTGACAGCTACGTGTGGGGCGCTCGCCGTAAATGAAGGCAAAGAGCTGCCGACTGAGCCTGGGAAGAGGGTGTTACCCCCTTATCCCCGGGGTCCCGGCAGCCAACAGGTTTATGGAACGAATGCCTGTTTGTGTGTAATTGTGTCTCCACTCAACCCAATCCAAGGAAGCGGGTCCTAAGTCAGGGTGTGCTGGGGGCTCCAGGGGTGGATTGAAGGGACCAAGTCTCTGGGCTGTGGGCTGGCCGGCCTCAGGGCCACAGAGCTCTCACCCTTGATCTTGCCTCTGGAAGGAGACGGGACCCCACCCCACCCCTCAAGGCAGCCGGGCCTGATGGCAGCCTGCCCTCCTTCCCCTCAGTGAAGACCAGCGTCCCTGGCACCCCAAGTTTCCCCCAGGGAGGCAGTGGGTGTCCTTTCCAGCTGTGTGACCTCGGACCAAGCTTTTGAACCTCACTAGGGCCTCAGGCCTCTCAGGTTTAAAGGGAAGAATCACCCCAGTTGGTAGAATTGTCTAAAGGGACTAATGACATTCTTGCTATAAAAAAATGCCGGGCACAGTGGATATTCGATAAATGTGAGTTCCCTTCCCAGAGATGTGAGCCAAGTTCAAAGGACAGCCCCTGCTGCGGTCGAGATAGGCATTAGATTGAAATAATGGAGGGGGTCTCAGAAAAAGGGCAAGCAAAAGCTAACTGCCTTAATATTCATTCCCCTTTTTTCTTTTAGTAATATCACTCCCAAGTTCTAGCTGGCTCCTGGCCAGCCAGCACCAGACTGCATCTCCCAGCTTCCCTTGCACCAGTGGCATGGCATTAAGGTCTGGCCAATAGAGTATAATCAGAAATGATGTTTGCATTCCCTGGGTTTTGCATGTCAGGTAATGGCAGTGTCCTCCACGTCTTTCTTCTTTGCTTTCTGAAGGCAGGAATGTGGTCGTGATGACCAGAGCTGCAGCAGTTGTCTTGGATCACGAGGTAGAATCTATGGGCAGAGAACAGCAGAGCATCAAGAAAGGAGCTTGGGCCCCTCAGCTTGCCTTACCAGCCCTGCACAACTTATTCTTGAAGAGTTTTGTGAGAAATAGTTTCATGGTTTCTTGTTTAAGCCACTGTTACTTTGGAGGTACAGCTGGTTTCTTAACTAACAGAGGGCTTTCAGGTTGCAGCCCAGGGTCTGGATGCAGGAAGATCAAGCACAGGTCCTCTCTAAACTTTTGCTTCTTCATGTGTAAATAAAAGAGTGGATATAAAATATTAACACAGATATCGAACATGGCAGCTACTACTATTTCTACCCTGCCCTCTCTGCATTTTTTTACCTCAAGTCACAAATATCCTGATGCTGCAGAGGCTAGAGTTACACAAGACAGACACCCTATCACTACTTCAGAAAGCTGAGAGCTGTAACCTTCTGAACCATCAGAAAGTTATCGCGCAGGTGGGTCCTGTTCAGTGTTCCAAGATGGTAGAAATGTTTCTGGCAAAACTTAAATTCCATACAGGCCTCACAAAATCACATCAGCACAACATGCTGCCTTTCCTCCCCAGCGGGCTGATCCCCACAATTACCATTTTCCTGTAAAAAGGCAATCCTCTAGAAGAATTTTTAGATCACGCAGCACATTTTAGAACTTCTTCCCTCCAAATGCAAACCTCTATCCTGGCACAGCCCAGGAGCAGGGTTTCAGATGAAGCTCGTGGGAATGTTTGTATTGCTGAGTCTTTTTCTATTTCTCAGTTCTTGGAAATGCCCCAGAGTGTGGTCAAAACTGCTGCCCCCATTTGTCCCAGCTTCCTTTGCCTCTTCGCTTCATATCCTCTCCCGCACTCAGCCAAGCTGGGCTCTGGCAATGGGGCTTCCACAGCAATGGGTGCTGAGCCCCTACTGTGCTGGGCACCAGGGATACCACCAGGTACAAGACAGACACAGCTCTCCTCCCCCAACAGCACCCCCTCCCCCACCAAGCTCAAAGGCTAGTGCAGGAGACAGAGTAGGCAGATCTGTAACACAGGGTGCTGGAGGCTCCCCAGACAGCAAGTCCAGGGGCTGCTGACAACCAGAGGAGGGGCCCATAACCTTCTAGGGAGTCAGGGGGGGCTTTTCCCAGGCCAAAACAGCCTAGAGAAGATAAGTGGGAGCAAGAAAGGGTCCTCTAGGCAGAGTATATCAGCTTATGCAGCATGACAAACAGCTCCAAAAACTTCATGGCTTAAAACAACACACCATATATTATTGCTTGCGACTCTGCGAGTCAGCTGGACAGTTCTGCAGGTACAGACCAAGCTTGGTTGCTCTCCACTAGGCTCCTTCAGGCACATGTGGCTAACTGGAGGGTTGGCTGGTTGGCTGGCTGTTGACTGGGTGATAGAGGTATGGGCCTCTCAGCATCCAGCAGGCTAGCCAGAGCTTGTTCACAATGGGATTAGCATAGTGTCACTGCCACCACATGCTATTGGTCACCACAAATTTAAGGCGTGTGGGAAGACCTGAAAAGGTACATTGCAAATGAATATGGATATTGGCTGGGGTGAAAAACTGCAGCTATTTCTTCATCAGTCTGACATACCACACAGAGGAAACACAGGGGAATCATAGGGGGCAAAGCCCAAATCTCAGCACCTGGCCCATTCCAAGAGCGGCTGTGTGGCAGGTCTGTGGGGTTGTAGGGGCAGCGAGGCTCCAAAAGCCAGGCTGCATGCTCACCTGGCAGGGGAGATGCCATGCTCGCGAACGTAATTTTCCCAGGGCTTATCCATTGCACTTGGGGTGTGCTGACTCCCGCAATTTCCCCAAATGTGGGAAACTTGGCTGCCTAATTTGTGGTAGTGGGGGACTGCGTTTGCACTCTCCCCTCTTTAAAAAAAGGAAGCCAGGCTGAAGAGGTCAAACTTTCAATCCCAGGCACTGGGGAGCCGTGAAGCATACTGGCCAGGGGAGTGATTCCTGATTTCACTTTAGAGTACTCTGATGACCTCTGCCTCCCTCATTCCAGACCTCTGGCCCTGGGAAAATTCCAAAAATAGAGTATAGAGAGAAAAATTCCAAAAATAGACTGTAGAGAGAAAAATTTAAATCTGTTTAAACCTATCCCCTCCAAACCCTCTGCCCTCCTTAGAGGTAATTTCGCTATTACCTTGGTAGAAATCCGTTCAGACCTTCTGTGCCTTCAACACGCACACGAGTTCTGTCTTCTCAGAAGTGGAGAGTGTATTTCTCAGATATATTCTGGCTCATTCATTTTCACTGCTGTGTCCTGTCCCACCGTAGGAAGAGACCACCGTTTATTTGTCCACTCTCCTAATGAGCATTGACGTTGTTCTGAAGTTTCTCTAAGACTGCAATAGGCATTCTTGGATGTCAACGTGGGAGTTCCTCTGAGTCATACCTGGAGTGACCTGGGTGGGGTATGGCATGCGTCCATCTTTGGCTGTGTTGGACGTTACTGAATTGCTTTCTAAAGTGGCTCCTGACCTACCCTCCTAATGGTTACGCATTTCTTCATGTTCTAGGCACTCAGCAGTGATAGATGGTTAAGTATTTGTCATCCTACTGGGTGTGAAATACAGCCTCATCTTTGTTGTAAGCCACCGCACCATTTTAAATGGCTGCAGAGTATCCTACAGCCAAAGTAAGGGAGTAATTTAGCCAGGCCCCAAGTGATTCACTTGGAAGTTAGTTCTATTTTACTTTCTTTTCCTAAGTAATGCACTTCTAGGGCAGAGGAGTGGAGCTGCTGGGCTCAAGGGAAAACGTTTTCAAAGTAGGCTGCCTCCCAGCTCACACCACAGGCAGAGGCAGCGAGAACCTCTGCACCCAGCTCCCTGCCTCTTTGCCAGCACTTCGTCTTCAACTTCTGTCGTTTTTATGCGGAAGTCACATCTCTTTGTTGTTTCTATTTGAATTTTCCTGAATGCCAAGGAGGTTGAGGTTATTTTCCTGTGTTTATCAACCATTTTGGTGAATTGCCTATTTATATTTTTTATCTATTTTTCCCATTGGTTATTGTCATTATTTATGGAGACTTTTGCTAAGCAATTTTATTTTTAAATTGCTCTTTTATCCTTTCAAGATTACTTTCTTTAAAAACAAAACAAAAAGCCCTGGCTTTGTTGCTCAGTTGGTTGGAGCATCAACCCACACACCAGAAGGTTGCAGGTTCGACTCCCGGTCGGGATGTGTGCAGGAAGCAACCAATCTACATTTCTCTCTCTCTCTCTCTCTCTCTCTCTCTCTCTCTCTCTCTCTCTCTCTCTTTCTTTCTCTCTCTCTCTCTCAAGTCAATATATATATCAAGCTTAAAAAAGGAGGTGGCCACAGGTTGACCTAGGGGTGTCTGCTTCAGGCAAACCCCACTTCAGTCAGCCTCCAGCTGCCACTTCTTGAGAAACCGAGTCAAGCAGTGGCAAGGGTACAGGATCGGACAGTGGGGCAGTGGGATTGGAGCGCCTCACCTCTACAACCCAGCTGTGCCCAATTCCCCATCAGCATCTCCAGCCCCTGGTGAGCAGAGGGTACAGGAGGGACCAAACAGCTCAGCCCCCATCATTTCACATGGATACTGGGACCCAGAGAAATCAAGTGACTCATCCAAGGTCACACAGCAACGGGTGACTTAGCTGGGGTGTCAGTGCCCCAGGCAGGACCGTGTGCCCCGCCCCAGCCCTCCCACCCCAATCAGCAGTTCGGCCCTCCCAGCCCAATCAGGGACTAATTGGAGTCATGGGGCCAAGCCACTGGGATATAAGATGAGCAGCCAGCCGGGTCTGGTAGGCATATCTACGTCTGTGTCTTCCAGTGCAATGGCTCCCGGGAGCGTGGCCTCCAGCGACTCCTTGACCTCCTCAGCCTCCCTAACCTCCACAAGCTCCACATCCGGGTGGTCTGGGATTGGAAAGCCAGGTGAGCAAAGGAAGGCAGCTTCTCCTCCATCCCTGCAAAACCATCGCCTGGGTGTCTGGGACCCTTCCTCCTCCCAGCCTTCTCCTTCCCCTGCCCTCCCCAGCACCCATCCTAGAGTTGGTTGAGTTCTACCACCTGTTTGGCAGGTGCCAGAAGTGGCAGGGGCCAGGCAGACCTGAGCTGAGGATGGCTGGCTCAGAGGAACAGGGCACAGGGCAGAGCAGGCCTCCCCAACTGGGGCCCATTTACTTTCAGGGCAGGGCTGGGCGCCCAGCTGCAGCTGCGAGGCAGCTAGTTGAAGGGACTAGAGCAACAAGTGTTTGATACAGGGCTGGGCTTTGGATTCAGGACTGCATCCCAACTTCTAATAAACAAAAAACACCTCGGGGTTTCTCAGGACATGGGGGCCACTGGAACAAACAAACAAACCCAGTTCCTTCCCTAAAGGAGCTCCCAGTCTGATGGCAAGCCTGCCTCATTAATAGGTGCCACTTGATGATGTGGCGGGAACCCAGAAGGCTGTAGAAGCTCAGAGGAGTCGCCTAAGCCATTCTGGGAGGTCAAGGAAGTTTTCCTGAGGGAGGTGACCCCTGAAAAAAGGATAAACCTCACCCACAGGAAGGAGGGTGAGGCAGGGGAATCTTTCTGAGTATCTGCAAAGACTCCTGGAGGAAGGGGGTGGGTTCCAGGTGCCTCGGGAGCACAGGGCGGAGCTGCTCACTCTGGCTGGGGAAGTCAGTGCTGCTTGAACCTTGAAGGATGAGTGAAAGTGGCCTGGCTGATTGAAGAGACAGAAGGAACAGCGCAGGCAAAGGCCCAGAGCAGGCAGTGCTGGTGGAGCATTTAGGGAGTTGCAGTCTTCCTTTGGGCTGGAGGCCGAGTTGGGGAGAACACTGGTGAGAGGTGGGCCGGACCAATCAGACTGGGCTTCCTGGGCTGTGGTCTGGTGCATCGGTGTTTATGCTGAAGGTAACATGGAGGTGAGGGGTGTGAGATACAGTGAGGAGAATGGATTAGAAGAGACAGGAGGCAGCAGGGAGGAGGCTGGGGCCCTGGGGATGGAGAGGAGAGGCCAGAGTGGAGAGAGAGAAGCCTGGGGAGAGGAGTGGGGTGGGTGAGGTGGTGAGGGGGAGGGGAGGTGCAGGGTGTCCCCTGGGTTCTTGCTTAGGTGTCTGGGTGGGTATGGGGGGAGGTGCCATTCCTGGGAGGGAGAAGTCAGATGGCAGGTGCGAGGGAGGTGTGAGTTCTGTTCCGGACATCCCAGTACTGAATAACTGCTGAATGAGGGGCTGCAGCCAGCTGGAGGATCTGGGGAGGGAGGAGACTTGGGGGAGGCTCCCCCGGACAGGGACTGGTTTTTGGAGGCAGGGGGTTCAGTAAGGTGCCAGCCCAGGCCAGGCCTGAGGGCCCCTCTGGAAACCCTCTGACACTGCAGCTGGGCGGGCTCAGACCTCCTTAGAGACCTCCACCCCCCACCACACAGAGGGGAAGACCAAAGCCCAGAGCAGAGGGTGAAACTCCCGAGGTCTTGGGGGAGACCGACCCGGGACTCCACCAGGTCACAGGCCGAGGCCCTAACATGAACATTCCCACACACTGCACTCTTCCTGGCCAGGAGGCAGCAGTGGTCCAATTGGATTAGGTCTCTACAGTTTTGCTCAAGATCTAGAGTTTGGGGGTGTTTTTCTACTTTAAAACGTGTGTGTGTGTGTTTTTTGTTTTTATTTTTATTAAATATTGAATTGGTAGAGAAAATAGTACAACATGTGTATAAGTTGTAATCAAACGAGAATTAACACCTGTGTACCCACCACCTAGCTTAGCACTGCCAGAGCTTTAAATTGTAAAAGACACTGTTTCGCTTCCTGCAAATTCTTTCTCCATGTTCTCCATCAGCCAGGGATGACCACTATTTTGCTTTCATTTGTACTTTAACATTTATGCAGATATCAGTAAACAATATTTTAATTTAGCATTTTAAAATTTCATCTAAAATGTTGTTATTCTGTATTCTACTTGCTTTAAAAAATTATTTTATTGTTATTCAAGTACAGTAGTCACCATTTCCCCCCACCACTGCCCCCACCCCAGCCATCCCCACCTCCCTCCCCTGATCCCACCCTCCCTAGGTTTTGTCCGTGGGTCCTTTATAGTTGTTCCTGAAAACACTTCCTCCTTTTCCCCCCATTATCCCCTCCCACCTTCCCTGTGGTTACTGTCAGATTGTTCTTAATTTCACTGTCTCTGGTTTTATTTTGCTTGCTTGTTTGTTTTGTTGATTAGGTTCCACTTAAAGGTGAGATCATATGGTATTTGTCTTTCAACACCTGGCTTATTTCACTTAGCATAATGCTCTCCAGTTCCATCCATGCTGCCGCGGAGGGTAGGAGCTCCTTGTTTCTGCTGCATAGCAACTTGCAGAAGGTCCACTTATTCTTCTGCTCTACTTCTGCCACCTTGTCAGTTCTTCAGACTAAAATGTGTTTATTTTAATAATGATTAGTATATTATTCTTTTAAAAAATATTTATTTATTTTTAGAGAGGGAAGGGAGGGAAAAAGAGAGAGAGAGAGAGAGAGAAACATCAATGTGCGGTTGCTGGGGGCCATGGCCTGCAACCCAGGCATGTGCCCTGACTGGGAATCAAACCTGCAACACTTTGGTTCGCGGCCTGTGCTCAGTCCACTGAGCTATGCCAATAGGGGCTAAAATGTGGTTTTTAAAAATATATATTTTAACCACTTGATCCCTTTTTGAATCTTTAATTTTTGCAAGTTGATCAGAAAGCAACATTTCTAATCACTGTATTTAAATCAGGGTTTATATTTAAACCATTTCTATGTGCCTTATAGTGTCTCACAACTTCTCACACTTTCTCCCTGCTCACCCCACGATCCTATTCTCTTTGCAACTTTTTAAAATAAAAGCTCATTGAGATATCTCAACCATTTACATACCATACAATTCATCCATTTAAAGTGTACAATGGCTCTTAGTATGTGCACAGTTGTGTATTCATTTCCACAGTCAATTTTAGAACATTTCCATCACTTCAAGAAAGCCCTACACCTACGAACAGTCACCCCCATCCCCACCCCCGTGCACCCAACCCCTTGCATCCACTGATCTATTTTCCATGCCGATAATTTGCCTGATGAGACAGTTCATTTAAATGATATTACACATTATGTGACTTCTTGCGACTGACTTCTTTCACTCAGCATAGTGTTTTCAGGGAAGCCCTGTTTTCCTTCTCCCGGCCAGGTGAGACTCTGTTTTATTGCTGGCACGTTTTGTGCATCCATTCATTAGTTTATGGACATTTGTCTTGTTTCTGCTTTTGTGCTATTGTAAATGATGCCACTGTGAACATTTGTGTAAAAATGTTTGTGTGGATGCATGTTTTCATTTTTCTGGGGTATAGATTTAGGAATGACATTCTTTCATAACTTTTTATAATGAAAACTTTCATATGAACACAAAAGCAGGGGGAGTGGTACAGTGACCCCCAACCCCGCCCACCCCACCCCGCACGCCCATCGTCCAGCTTCACCGGTTACTAGTGTACGGCTACTCTTGTTTCACGTACCGGGTTATTTCCATGCAAGTGCCAGAGCTATCATTTCATTTCTAAATACCAGCATGTATCTTTAAAAGATAAGAACCTCTTACAAAATAATTTCAATACCATTAGCATACCTGAAACAATATCATCAAATATTTCCAGTGTTCACATTTATCTAGTGGCCTTTTTTCCCCCCATGTTTAAGTCATGTTCCAAGTTTGAACAAGGACCCCACATGGCATCTGGTCAGAAGGTCTCCCAAGGTCTCTCCTCTCTGGGAACATCCCCACTTTTTGTTTTCCAGCTTGCTTATTTGTAAGCAAAACTGGGCTCTGGATCCTGGAGAGATCCTCACAGTCTGAGTTTGTTGACTTCATCACCGTTTCCCTTTCACAGAGCCCCTAGGTTCCCTGTAACACCTCACCCAATTCAGGGTTTCTTAAGATCTTATTTATTTTTAGAGAGGAAGAAAGAGGGGGCGAGAAGCATCAATGTGTTGCCTCTTGCATGCCCCACACTGGGTACCTGGCCTACAACCCAGGCTTGTGCCCTGACTGAGAATCATACCAGTGACCCTTCGGTTTGCAATCCAGTGCTCAATCTACTAAGCCACACAAGCCAGGGCAGGTTTCTTTTTTTTTTTTTTTTAAAGCAATGTTTAATTCTTTCCATGAGCTTTCATGGAGAGTCTGGTGTGTGCCCAGCCCCACAGCAGGCACTAGGAGACAGGGGCTGGCCAAGCAGCGTGTCTGGCCCTCGTGTGCTCACAGGCACTGACTCGGTGTATATTCAATCCCCTATGCCCATTTTCCACCCGCCATGGGGCCCGGCTGTGCCTGCTGTGTGTTTCACGGGGCATGTCTGTGGTCTGTTGGGCCTGAGGGTGGTTCGAGCTCTGGGCGATGTCCTGTTATCCATTTGCAGGCCCGAGCTCTAGCATTGTGAGAGTGCCGCGCCGCCACCCACCTGTGCTGCGTATGGTCCTGGAAGCACTGCAGGCAGGGGAGCAGCGCCGGGGCACCTCGGTGGTGGCCATCAAGGTTTACATCCTGCAGAAGTACCCTACAGTAGATGCCATCCGGCTCAAGTACCTGCTGAAGCGGGCCCTGAACACTGGCATGCAACGTGGCCTCCTCGCCAGGCCCACCAACTCCAAGGCCAAGGGGGCCACTGGCAGCTTCAAAGTGAGCATGCTGGGGGTGACTGGTCGGGGTGCTTGCTGCAGGGCAAGACTGAGCCAGGGTGTAAACTTCAGTTCCATCTCTCTCCTCCTGGCCCCTCTGTGCTAGTCCCCTGCCAGAGGCCTGTCTCCCTGTCTTCTCTCCTTGTTTTTCCTGTGTGTTCTTAGAGACACCCCCTTTTCCAGGAAGGTTCGTGTGTATGTGCACGTGTGCACACCTTCTCTGAGCCCTCACACAGTTCTGGTCACCCTGCTGTGTCCACCTTCATCCTCGTCAGATGTGTTCAGGGACCAGGGACCAAGGACCATCTCAGCTGTGTCCCCTTCTGCCCATGACCCCTTCCTGGAACTCCTCACCACAGACAAGGCAGTCTAGCCTTGGGCTCTAGAAGGTCACAGAGCTGGGGTTTACTCCCCATGCTCTCCAGCTCCAAATCAGGGCTGGCACCTCCCTGAGCCATCACTTCCTTCTCTTTCACAAGACAGGGTCCCAGAGAGGGTAAGATTTGTCACAAAACTGAACCCCAGCATCACGACTGTCAGCTGCCACCAGGGAAATCTCAGGGACCCAGACGTGGGTCCTGTCTTATGTTACTGTGCCCCAGTATGTAGCAGTTGCTCTGACAGTTGCCATAGAACATTGTGGAACATTCTCAAAGTACTGTCTTCCTGTCCGTGTGGTAATCAGTGGCTGACCACAGGAAGTCCATCCTTGTTAAACTCCTGGGCGTGGGTCAGAGCTTGGAGCCATGGCAAGGCCCAGGGCTAGGGTGGGGTGAGGAAGAGCAAGAGAGGAGTGCTGGGGGCATGGGTGGCTGGGTTAGGTACAGGGCCTGGGAGCCAGTTAGGAAAGTGGGCTGCAGGGGTGGGAGGCAGGGAAGGGGCCCTAGGGTGACCACAGAGTTAGGAATGTGTGTGTGCTGAGAGTAGGGGTTGTTTCTGGTCTGGGTGGGAATTGGGAAGCCATGAAGGATTGGGGGTTGTGGGAAACATTATCAGCAGTGGACTGTAGAAGGGCAGGGACCACCTTTTTGCCAGGGGCCCTTGCATTCCCCTAATCCTCATAACCTCCCTGATGGCTCTGCTGTAAAGATGGGAAGACTGAAGCTAGCTGGGGCCAAGAAGACTGCTGAGTTGTACAGCTGGGGAGGGCCGGAGGAAGCTGTGAACTCTGGGCTGTGTCGCCTTGAAGTCCATGTTCCCTTAGTGGGCATCACGGGCAAGGCAGGGAGTTTGAAGACACGGAGGTGTGAGGTAGGGCAGGCTTTGTCGGGGAGAGGAAGGGAGGGTCAGAGCCACAGTCTGTGAGAAGGTGTGGGCAGGGAGGATGCCAAAGGTTCCTATCTTAGACCCTCAGAGGATGGGGTCAGGGCTCACAGTGTGCGCCATTGCTCTCAGAAAAGGGCTTTGGCACTTCCAGATGCAGGGGCAGGGGGGAGTGTGCCTGTGGCCCTGGGAAGCAGACTCAGGTCACCCAGCTCCTAAATGGCAACAGTCCTTTGTAGTGCAAGAAAGGATTGACTGAGTGACCTTGGCAGGCATTTCAGAGGTGGTCTTGTGTCTTCTCCCCATACCCACCCTCCTTCACCCTCCCACTTTTTGAATGGGGCTGCTTCTCTGAGCCTTAGATTGAGAATAGGAACACGAACACCCAGAGCTTCAGCCCTCAATCCCACCCCATTCTCTCCATTGCCAGTTAGTTCCCAAGCCCAGAAAAAAAGTCAAGCCCAGGAAGAAGTCTACCATGTCAGCCCCCAGGAGACCTGCCGAGGCCAAGGAGGAGGCCCCCAAGAAAGGTGGCCAGACCAAGGACGGAGAGGCAAGAGTGGGAAAGGCCAGGAAGGTCCCCCAAGAGCCAGACAAGGCCACGAAGGGCCCTCGTGGTCCCATCAGGCCCCGTGGGAAGTCAAAGGTTAAAGGCAGAAAGAACAGCCCAGGTAGGCGTGTGAAGAGGTGAGAGGAGGGCATGGGCAACCACTGGATGTGAGGATGGGGGCGCGGCTCTGGGGGGAGGTTTCCTGTCTGGTAAATGTGCCCTAAGCATTAGCCTTGACCTGGGCAGACAGAACTCATGGAAACTGGTGGGGAGTGGGGATGAGGAGCCTGACTCCTCTCTCAGAGAGTGTGCTTCGAGGAGCTGGCATTTCAGGCAGAAGAGCAGCTTATGCAAAAGCTTGGAGGCATGGAGAAGGAAGGTGACTTTTTGAGGCAGTGAAAATAGTTCTGTGTGCAACGAAGGCAGGGAGGTGGGGCAGGCAGTGGCACAGGGAGGCTGGGAAGGGCAGCCCGGAGTCTGGGCTTTATCTGGAGAACAATGGGAAGACACAGAAAGACTCTGAACAGGGGACAGCTAGGGTCTGAGGTATTTTTTAAAAGATGGGCTAAAGACTAGAGGCAAATAAGCCTGTTAGGGGGCTTTGTTGTGGTGTTAGGGTGGGTGCCAAGCAGGGGGTCCACCCTGGTACTTGGCTCAGAGTGAGGGCATTAATGGTCCAGTTAATTCTCCAACAATTCATGAGGGAAATACTATTATTCCCAGTTTGCAAGTTAGGGCAACCAGGCTGAGGCTAACCCCCTTGCCCCAGGTCAGTGAGTGCCAGATGAAGACCAGGGCCCGGCAGGACTAGTGCTCCGCCGCGAACCCTCCTGCCCAGCAGCAGCTCCTCCTGAAAGGGTCCTCCCCACATACCTCCCCCCTACCCCACCCCACTTTCCAGCAGACGACAAGGCCCACAGGAAAACCAAAGCTGGAACTCAGAGTTCAAAAGCCACGGTCGCCAAGGTAGGTGCCTGTGTGATTTCCCTGGTCTGGGTCTCCACCTTACATAGGCCCGAGTTTTGGTCTCCCCCACCCAGCCCCTGGAAGGTCAGCTGGGAAAGGGAGTCATTTATTTTCCTATACAGCCCCGCTCAGCTTCTCCTCCTCTCTGGCCCTCCAGCGCCCTGAGGATCACTGTCCCTGTTTTACTGAGTTAAAACAGGGGACTGAGGCTGAGAGAGGAGAGATCACTTGTCCAAAGACGCCCAGAGCTGAGATTTCAATCTCATATTCCTGGGCTTTGATCTGTGTGCCCCACCTGGCTTCATTGCCTTGCTCCTTGACTTGCTTTCTTACAGGGCGAGAACGGTGCGGTTTTCCCAGCCAAAAAGATGACTGGGAGCACAGTCCCTAAAGAGGCCGCTGCCCAGGGGGCCGGGCAACGGCCAAAAGCCAAGGGTGCTGCTGCTCCTCCTAAGGACGGTGTGTCCAAGACGGTAACTGCACCACCAGCCAGAAAGACAGAAGTCCCCAAGGGCCCAGGAAGACCTGGTGTGCCCGCCAAGGCCTTGTCATCCAATGGGACCAGTAAGAAGATAGAAGCTAAGAGCTAGAGGCAGGGTGGAAAGAGACTTAAGATTCTGTTGGAATTTTTATTCGCCCCCAAAACATTACTCTATTTATTTCACTGTAACCTATTTATCAATAAAGAATATTTTCCCTCTCACAAATTGGTGTGGAAGGAGGAGCTCCTGCCCTGGTGGAGACAGATTGTACAATGTAAAGGGCTGGTGCAGGGATCTGGGGTCACAGCAAAGTTGTTTAATGCAGCCTGAGATCTGGGACTGCTTCCTGGAGGAGGCGGCTTTTGGTCTTAAAGGATGAGCGAGAGTTGTTGGACGGATGAGAGGAAAAGCATTACAGGCAGAGAGTCCCAGCATGTGGTGTGGTGAGAGGAGCATGGGGGAGAGGTGGCATGAGCCACTTGGGCCATGGGGGATGGGGCAGAAGGGAATGGAGGGGCAGAATAGGAAAGGCAGGCCTTCTCTCAGGGGCAGTGGGGAGCCAGGAAGGTTATAGGCAGGGGAAAGAATGGTGTATGTGCCTAGGAAAGTCCTCTGACTGTGGAGAGGAGAGGAGAGGAGTTAGAGACCCTTCAACAACTAGCTACTGAGCACCACTGTGGGCCCTGCTCTAATCAACAGAAGGAAAAGGAAGTGTGAAGGCCCCGAGGCAGGAACATGCTTGGCAGACTGAGGGAGCTGTGGGGAGGCCCATGGGGCTCCAACACAAAGAGGAGGACAGTAATGAGACACGAAGTGCAGGGTGCTTTCAAAACGTCTGTGACACCCTTCCCATGGAGAGGTGGAGTCTGTGTCCTTGCCCTTTGAACCTGGGCTCTGTGATTGCTTGACCAATAGGATACAGTGGAAAAGATGTTATTATAGTTTTTGGGCCCAGACCTTAAGAGATTGGCAGCTTCTACTTCCTGTGTGTTTTTAAAATTCCCATCCCCTCGCTGCATTCCCCTCTGGCAACCATCCACTTGTTCTCTGTATCTCTGGGTTTGTTTCTGTTTTGTTTAATCATTTTGGGCTTTTTTTAGATTCCACATATAAGTGAAATCATGCAGTATTTATCTTTCTCTGACCCTCTAGGCCCATCCATGTTGTCATAAATGGTAAAATTTTATTCTATTTTATGGCTGAATAATATTCCACTGTGTATATATATGCCACATCTTCATCCTTTTGTCTGTCAATGAACCCCTAGGTTACTTCTGTGTCTTGGCTATTGTAAATAGTGCTGCAAAGGGTGCATATGAGTATATCTTTTCAGATTGAGTGTTTTTGTTTTCTTCAGATAAATGCCCGGAAGTGAACTGCTGGATCATATGGCAGCTATATTTTTAAGTCTTTGAGGAATCACCGTGTTGTTTTCTATAGCGGCTGCAGCAGTGCTCGATTCCACCAGCAGTGGGTGTGGGCTCCCTTTTCTCCTCACCATCGTTAGTTTGCTGTCTTGTCGACAAACGCCACTCCACCCAGTATGCGGTGGTGGGTATCTCGTTGTAGTTTTAATTTGCATTTCTCTGATGATTAATGATGTCCAGCATCTTTTTATATGTCTACTGACCATCTCTATGTCCTCTTTGGAGAAATGTCTATTCAGGTCCTCTGTCCACTTTTTAATTGATTTCTTTGACTTTTTGTTTTTTAGTGTTAAGTTGTATGAGTTCTTTATATATTTTGAATATTAACCCCTTATCGGATATATCATTTGCAAATATCTTCTGCAATTTAGTAGGTTGTCTTTTGTTTTGTTGATGGTTTCCTTTTCTGTACAAAATCTTGTAATTTGATGTAAGTCCATTTATTTTTTTCTGTTGTTGCCCTTGCCCAAGGTAACAGAATCCAAAAAGATATTGCTAAGAGAGAGAAGTCAAAGAGTTTACTGCCTGTGTTTTCTTCTAAGAGTTTTATAGTTTCACATCTTACATTTAATTCTTTAATCCATTTTGAGTTTATTTTTGTACAAGGTGTAAGGAAGTGGTTCAATTTCATTTTTTTTGCATGTATCTGTTCAGTTTTCCCAACAGTACCTATTGAAGAGACTCTCTTTACTCCATTGTATATCTATTGTGTAACTGACCCTATAGGCATGGGTTTATTTCTGTGCTCCCTATTCTATTTTATTGATCAATATGTCTGTTTTTATTGCAAGTACCATGCTGTTTTGACTATTGTAGCTTTGTAGTATAGTTTAATACCAGGACATGTGATACCTCCCACTTTGTTCTTTCTCAAGGTTTCTTTAGCTATTTGGGGTCTTTTGTAGTTTCTTGTAATTTTAATGGTTCTAATTCTGAGAAAAATGCCATTGGTATTTTAATAGGAATGGCATTGAATCTCTACTGCTTTAGGTAATGAGGGCATTTTAACATTAATCACTCTAATCCATGAGCAAGGTATAGCCTTTCATTTATGTGTATCTTTAATTTCTTTGTTCAGTGTCTTACTGTTTTCAGAGTATAGGTGTTTTACCCCTTCAGTTAAATTTATTCCTCAGTATTTTATGCTTTCTGATACAATTGTAAATTGGTTTTGCTTTCTTAATTTCTGCTCTGATCATTTGTTATTGATGTATAGAATTGCAACAGATGCTGATCTGCATACTGATTCAGTATCCTGTAACTTTATTGAATTCATTGATTAGTTCTAACAGTTTTTTGTGGAGTCTTTAGGATTTTTATACATAGTATCATGTCATCTGCAAATATTAGTGTTTTACTTCTTCCTTTATTATTTAAATGCCTGTTATTTCTTTTTCTTGCTTGATTGCTGTTGGCCTGTAATTTTCTTTTTCTTTTTTTGTAATGTCTTTGTCTAGTTTTGTTATAGGGTAATGCTGGCTTCATATAATGAGTTTGGAAGCTTTCCTTCCTCTTCAGTCTTTTTAAATAGTTTAAGGTTTAAGAAGAATAGATATTAATTGTTCTGCCCAGGCTGGTGTGGCTCAGTGGATTGAGTGTGGGCCTGCAAACCAGGGGGTTGCCAGTTCGATTCCCAGCCCAGGCTGCATGCCAGGTCCCCAGTTGGCAACCACACATTGATGTTTCTGGCCCTCTTTCTTTTCCCCATCCCCTCTCTAAAAATAAATAAATAAAATCTTTTAAATTGTTCTGTGAATACTGAGTAAAATTTACCTGTGAAACTGTCTGGTCCTGAATTTTTATTTATTGGGAGTTTTTTTTTTTTCTACTTCAAATTCATTGCTAGTAATTAGTTTGTTTAGAATTTGTATTTCTTCCAGGTTCAGTCTTAGAAGGTTATATACTTCTAGAAATTTATGTTTCTTCTAGATTGTCAAGTTTGTTGGCATATAACCATTTGTAGTATTCTTTAATGATTCCTCATACTTCTGCAGTGTTGGTTGTTACTTCTCTTTCATTTATTATTTTATTTATTTGACTAACAGTTTATCAATTTTTATTTATAATTTGAAAATACCAGCTCTTAGTTTTGATCTTTTCTATTATTTTCTTAATTTCTATTTCATTTATTTCTGCTCTGATCTTAACTATTTCCTTACTTCTGTTAATTTTGGGTTTTGTTTTCCCTTTTTCTAATTCCTTTAGAGGTAGAGTTAGATTGTTTCTTTGGATTTTTTTTTTACTTGTTTCTTAGGGGGTAGACCTGTATAGCTGTGAAATTCCATCTTAAAACTCTCTTTGCTGCATCCCCCAAATTTTGAAAAGTTGTGCATTCATTTTCAAAATTTTAAAAATTTTTTAAAATTATATTTTATTGATTATGCTATTACAGTTGTCATGATTTTTATCCCTTTTCCCCTTTCCACCCAGCAGCCTCCCTCCCACTTCCTCAGGCAGTCCCCACACCATTGTTCACATTCATGGGTCATGCGTATAAGTTCTGTGGATACCCCACTTCCCATATGGTACTTTACATCCCCATGTCTATTCTGTAACTACCTATCTCTACTTCTTAATTCCCTCACCTCTTCATCCATTCCTCCAAATCCTCCTCCCATCTGGCAACCATCAAAACATTCTCCTTATCCATAGCTCTGTCTCTGTTCTTGTTTGTTTAGTTTGTTTTTTAGATTCAATTGTTGATAGGTATTTTTTGCCATTTTATTGTTCACAGTTTTGATATTTTTTAAAATATATTTTATTGATTATGCTATCACAGTTGTCCCATTTCCCCCCTTCATTCCCCTCCACACCCTCTCCCACCCACATTCCCCCCTTTAGTTCGTGTCCATGGGTCATAAGTTCTTTAGCTTCTACATTTCCCATACTATTCTTGCCTCACCCCGTCCACTTTCTACCCACCATCTATGCTACTTATTCTCTGTACCTTATCTTTTTTCTTAGATAAGTCCCTTTAATATTTCATAAAATAAGGGCTTGATGATGATGAACTCCTTTAACTTGACCTTATCTGAGAAGCACTTTATCTGCCCTTCCATTCTGAATGAAAGCTTTGCTGGATAGAGTAATCTTGGATGCAGGTCCTTGTCTTTCATGACTTGGAATACTTCTTTCCAGCCCCTTCTGGCCTGTAAGGTCTCTTTTGAGAAATCAGCTGACAGTCTGATGGGAACTCCTTTGTAGGTTACTGTTTCCTTATCTCTTGCTGCTTCTAGGATTCTCTCCTTCATTTTTATTTTGGCTAATGTAATTATGATGTGCCTTGGTGTGTTCCTCCTTGGGTCCAACTTCTTTGGGACTCTCTGAGCTTCCTGGACTTCCTGGAAGTCTATTTCCTTTGCCAGATTGGGGAAGTTCTCCTTTATTATTTGTTCAAATAACTTTTACACTTGTTGCTCTTTCTCTTCCCCTTCTGGTACCCATATGATTCAGATGTTGGAACATTTAAAGATGTCCTGGAGGTTCCTAAGCCTCTCCTCATTTTTTTTTATTCTTGTTTCTCCATTCTTTCCTGTTTGGTTGTTTCTTTCTTCCTTCTGGTCCACTCCATTGATGTGAGACCCAGCTTTCTTCCCATCACTATTGGTTCCCTGTGCATTTTCCTTCATTTCATTTAGCATAGCCTTCATTTTTTCATCTAATTTGCAACCAAATTCAACC